GAAGGTTCTGGGGGAGGAAGCCCATTATTTTTATTTAAAATACCTTCACAATATTGTGTTTGAACAGGTTGCATTTGCATGAGTTATTAAAATTAACTCCATCAGGTTCTAAGTCTCCCCGGGGTGGTAATATCCTTTTGGCTTGACTGTCTTTGTCTTGACCCACTGGCTCTTCCAATACCTGCATAAACCAATGACTACATAACTCCTCTCTCTATGAGGAGGTGTGCCTCTTCCCGGCTAGACTTTCCCGCTAAGTTACCAAATAACACACAACAGTTTGAACTCTGCAAAAACTGACATCGTCTAACGTATGTATTGCAGCTTGCTGTGTGCCTGCCACAGGGCAGGTCATGGTGGTTGGGGAAGGGACTTTAGCCCCTCCATCACCTCCATCCAGCTCTCTTCCTTTTCCCACCCGAAATGAGCCCACTTCCTGTGAGGTGTAACTTTTCTGGACAAGCCTAGATTCCTTCCCAAGCTTCTAAACCCCTCCTAGTGGAGAAGATAGTAGCATCGAATTGTTCAGGGTTCCTATGAGGATCACATGATGTAAATGTGATAGGCCTGGTAAGGTGTGCCTGGTAAGTAGCAAGTTCTTTATAAATGGCTGTTCTCATGTTCATGCTCATGATCTATAAGAATAGAACCACTGGGTGCTAGCACTCTTAGGCACTCAATAAAAATGGGTGATGGTCTGATCAAGCTTCCCCTGCAACCCCATGGGAACCAGGGCATGCCTTCCGTTTGTGGCACGTGTCCAATATGGGTAAGTTTTCTCATCTAAGAAGTTGGGAGAGTCTGAAGAAGCCTGAAGCATTTAGAAAAACTTAATTCCTGGAAACGATAAGGAAGTTTTGCAGGAGATGATGTGGAGAAAATTTATACAACACAGCCTTATAAGGCTCCAGATAATGACAGCTTTAGAATCAAGCACAGCTCATAGTTAGATGCTTGGAATGAATGAGTTTTGGGTAATTCCCAGAATCCTAGAGTGCTCAAGCAACAAAGAATCTCAAAGAACATCACACCCAATCACCTCATTTTATAAAAGGGGTCTCAAGGCTGAAAGCATAAAATAGAAGAAGAGAAGGAACAGATTGTCCCATATTTGTAGATGGCCCTCTGTGTATGGAATTAGGATTCCAAAGTTTCCTTGAATTAGAGTAAAAAGTAGTTTCTTACTTGAAAAGACTGAGTGAGGGTCTCTGAGTACCTACTGGAGGCAAGACAGTCTACTAGTTACTAGGACAGGAAGAGGCAGAAGATCTCTCCTGTCTGTTGAATGAATCGTCGCCACCCATTCATGCAAACAAATATTTCTTGAGCATCTGTTATGTGCCAAGTACTGAACTTGATTCCAGGGATCTGGAAGGAGTTTGTGGTCCACCAAGGAGACAGATACATGAAAAGATGACTAATATGGTGTTACATGGAAATGTCACATCGAATGTTACATAAGGTGAAGAGTGCCTGGGTAACCTTGGGAAGGTTAGAAAGGCTTGTGGGCGAAGGGGAGCAGCCCGTGGTGCCGGTGGACTTCCAGAGCGCCTTCCAGGGGAAGGAGGCCAACTCAGGAGTGCGGGAGTGCTACCGCGTCCCGACAGCATCTCCCTTAAACTCAGCCTTTCCGCGTGCACACTGCCATCGCCCTGAAACTGCTTTCCTGCCTGGGTTACTGCAACAGGCTCCTGTCTCTGCCTCCACCCCTGTCTTCTACATTTTCCACACAGATGTCACATGATCTTTTCAGGACACAAGTCTGAATTCACTTCGCTTGCCTAAAAGTTTTCAGAGGTGTCCAATGCCCTCAGGATATTTAATAACATAAAATAATGAAGAAGATGATAAAAATATTAAACTTGCATAGAGCTTCCATACACTTAAAGAACATAATTAATTGATCTGCATTCTTTGTGGATTCTGTATGTGTGAATTCACCTACTTGCTAAAATTTATTTGTAACGGTAATAGATACCTGGGGTGCTTTTGAGATCATTTGTGGACTTGCAAAATGTGGCAAAAAACTGAGTCGTCTAACACCTGTGCTTCTCTGGCTGAGCTCAGAGAGGGTCATGCTCTGCCTTCTTGTTCCGGCTTCATATTGTGAGTGAGTGGTTTTCTGGGATTCATTTGGTGTCATACCTTTCTTACACGTTTATGCTTTTTGTTTGTAATTTTGCTGTTTAAAATGGCCCCTGAGCATAATGCTCAGCTGCTGTCTAGTGTTCTGAAGGGTCCTGAGGTGCTTTACAGAGAAAACTCACCCAGGAGTGAGTTCCGTGCTGTTAGCCCTGAGTTCTGTGTGGATGGATTAACTACATATATAAAGTAGGGCGCCTTTAAGCAGAAACACACATAAAGCAAGGTTATGTACTGATTGATTGATGAAAGTGTGGTGACCAAAGGCTCGCAAGATCCTAACCACGCCGTTCCCCTAGGAGCAATGGTTCTTTATTCACTAGCTCACTGCAGGAAGTGACTGGGTAGAAACACTACAGTGGCTAATGGGAATCAACACAAACAACTCACTTAAAACCAATTAAGAACCTTATAAAATAAGGGGCAGTCTTTTCTGTAACATACAACCCTCTAGTGTATCATCTCTCTTTTTCTCCCTGGCCATGCTAACCTTCTTTCAAATCTTTGGACTTAGGTTTCTTTTAAATTCTTTTCAGTTGATGTTTCTTTCTAGGTCCAAAGGCCTTGTCGTAGGCTATTTCCTTTGCCGTCTCACTCCACCTCCTGCCCATTGAGACCTGGCCATCCCACACCCATCTCACCGTTCACTTTGCCTTCTCAGTGCAACTTTAATACTTTTATTTCATTAATTGTTGCTGTGTCTTTCTTGCCTCCAGCCACGTGGAGCCGGTGAATCTCCTGGTTACTGCCCTTCCCCAAACGTCTGCTCTGACTAGGTGGAGACCGGGAAGTGTGTTCAGGGAAGGAGGAGGGGCGTCAGGCATTGTCTCGAGGAGACAGGAGTTAGAAATGAGGAAGTTTGCCACTACAAGTGCCAATGCCTCAGGAAAGGAAGGGAAAGAAAAGCGCACGTGGATTTTAGTAATGAGGGGGTTAACGGTAAGAAGGGAGGGAGGGTTACAAACTGACGGACATGGATGTTGGGGTGCAGTGGGTTGGGGAATGGCTGGGACAGATGAAAAGGACTGTGGGGCGCTTACTGACTTCTTTGGGATGGGGACGAAGAAGGGAGTAGTTATACTACAGGAGGATACAGGACTGTAGGATGGTTTTGCAGGGAGAGAGAGTAAATATATTTCACGTGCTGAGGAGAAAACAGGTGACTGAAGGAAACTGAAGACAACAGGGACGGTGAAGGAAAATACAGGCTATCAAGTCGAGACCACCTGTAGAGGTTAACTCCCTGCCCTGATTCTTATTTTTCAACCATCTCAATATATTTGTGAAAACCTTTTGGTCTAGAATGAGAGCTTCAAATGGCCTGTTTTGCTTATGATGCATATAATACAACTGGTTACTAGAAAGATAAAGATCACCCATGAAAGTATTACCCTTCGAAAGAAGTGAGGATACTCACCTCTCCCTCCGAGCCTAGAAGGAAAGGGGCCAGGGCAAGTGGAGGCACAGTTCTCAGTGCTGGGGCGGTAAGACTTGAGTTTCTCATCGATGTGCGAGGCAAGGATGTGTGTCATAGGAGCTAAAAGAGTCAAGGCCTGAATGCCAGAGGTTTGGAGTGACATGTGGCGGAGAAAAAGAGCAACCCCGAGGAGATGCCTGACTGCAGTCAGCAACTGAAAAGTTGAGTGAAGGCAGTAAGTGCAGTTCTTGCAATGTCTTCCTCTCCTGGCAATGTCCAGTGACCTGGGTGAAGGTCCATAAGGGCAGGTTCTCACACTGTCCCAGGGCTTGGATTTTGATGGCGCTGGCAAGAACAGCCCAAGCAATGGGCCATGGGGTCTGCAGCAAGTAGGCAGAGCAGTTTGCTGAGAGTTTGGCTAAAGGAGGAGGAGTCCTGGGGACTAGAGATCCTAATTAGGTTTATAAAAAGCCAGCGACCTGTGTTCTTGAGTATGAGAAATTTGAAGAGCTAAAAGGTACATTGGTATATTAGAGTTCATGGTTAATGACATGGTCAGGGAAGGGAATAAAAATGTGGTGCGAGGATACCTAAAGTGCAGGGAGTCAAGAAGGTTTTGAGCCTATGGTATTGAATGATCTAGAAGAGCTGGGAAGTTCCCAGATGACAGCAACAAATAGGGGAAAGGATAGAATAGATAGAAATTTGAGCCTCAAATGTAGGTGAGTATTTTTGCACCAAGGAGGCAGCTTGATCATCCAGAATTTGCAAAGGAGAACAAGGACAACGTATACACTACTTTTGAGACCAGAGCAGGGAGAACAGGATGGTTCCACTGGTATAAGATACACAGCAGATCATATCCTATGTCTGGCAGAAAATGGAAATGGTACGGGAGCTGGAAGAAGACTCAGAGAGAAATAAAAGGAAGGAATCCTAAGGTCTGGCTCCTAACCTTGAGAGTGTACCAGAATATCCTGGAGTGCTGGGTGCCACCCCCACATTTCTGACTGAGCAGTCTGGGGTGGGGCCCAAGAATCCACATTTCTAACAAGTTCTCAGGTGAGGCTGATGCTGTTGGTCCTAAGACTATAGTTCAAGCATCACTGTTTGGGAGAGATGGTCTGTACTGGAGGAACCCCAAATTGCCTGGGGAGATAGGTGAATTGGAAACCTTTCAGTGTGAAGATTTAGTTGGCTCATGCCTCTCACATCATGTGTCTGAGAACTGCATTTCCAAATGACAAAAGTGAAAAGAAACAGAGTTCTACTCAAACCTGGATTCACCGGAAAGAAGTAGACTTTGTGGACAGCTCTGTCTCTTGGCTTTAATGTTTTAGGCAATAAAAATGGCAGTGAAAGACTGAGTAATGGAAAGTTTAACAGAAAATAGAAAAGAATCAACTTTTCCCCACTGCATTAAGAAAAGAAAATAGCTTACCTGTTGTGGAGATTGTCCATTAGGTCTCTCTAGAAGTTTAACTTCTCGTCCTGTAGCAACAAAAAAAGTGGAAAATGAAGGTCTGCAAGTTGTCTCCGTGTCCCGGCCAAGTCGCATCAACAAAGTGACAGGGGAGCCTTTCTGTGCAGGCACCAGCCAGTAGAAGGGGTGAATGGAGGTCCTGGCCTGGACCAGGCAGCCCAGGCAGACAAGCTCTTTGAAGTTCACTAGGCCTTGGTTTGCAGCCCAGCTCCTGACACTCAGCATTATATTAGCAATTTACCGGCATTGCAGTGTTTCTTCTATAAAATAAGATTGCAGTGAGACTTAAATGGCACAACATATGAGCTGTTTATCGCATGCTGGGCAAGCTATTGCTCTTTATTACTGTTGACAAACATTACTTGGACAATATGTCTGTCTCTTTTGTGATGGGTAATGTTTCAATTAAGCAGAAAGAAATTCAAGGCATTTATTTGCTTCTTGGAGATATATCAGATAAAGTTTCAATGAACACATGTATATGTCAACAAAATGGTTTAGAAAATGGTTTTTTAATAGTTTTGCATGGTTTAGAAAATAATCTTGCATTATAATGAAAATGGTATATAGAATTTGAAAGTAAAGCAAATGTTTAGATTTTACCAACTTCTCTGTAATTATTAGAATACTTTACTGTCTCCCTAGTTGGGCAGCTCGGTTGGTTGGAGCGTTATCCCACACACCAAAAGTCTGTAGGTTCGATTCCTGGTCAGGGTGCATACCCAAGTTGCGAGTTTGATCCCTGGTCAAGGGCACATACAGGAGGCAACTGAGCAACGTTTTTCTCCCACACCAATATTTTTCTTTTCCAGAAAGGTAGTTTACTATCTATAAACACAAAACTTTTGAACAATGCTCTTATTCCACAAGCCATTCTTCTGTTAAGAAGTCTTACGTAGTTATCCGTTGCCTACCAAGCTTTCATGAACTCAGCTGTGCACTCCAGGTCTTTCACAGTATGGTGCCAATGGCCTTCCAAGAGTCTCTCTGAAACTCCTTGAGACACTCCTATTTCTAGCCAATCTAGAGTTTTCACCATTCTCTAAACATGTCTACATTTTTCTGTTTCAGAGCCTTTGCATATATTATTTCCTCCACCTGGCTTGCGTCCATGCCCATTGATATTTTGCAAAATTCTACTGATTCTTCAAAACTTACTTCACCCCAAATAGCAGCTGCGATTTTGAGAAAGAAGAACAAAGTAGGAGGGATCACAATACCTGATATCAAATTGTATCAGGTATAGTGGCCTTGTAAGGCCACTATAATCTAAACAGCCTGGTACTGGCTTAAAGCACATGGACCAATGGAGCAGAACAGAGAGCCCAGAAATAAACCCAAGTCTCTACAGTCAATTAATATTTGACAAAGGGGACAGCAATATAAAATGTACTAAAATAGCCTTTTCAACAAATGGTGTTGGGAGAACTGGACAGCCATGTGTAAAAAAAGGAAATTTGAGCACCAACTTACACCATACACCAAAATAAATTCAAGGTGGATAAAAGACTTAAATATAAGCCATGACACCATTAAAGTCCTATAGGAGAACACTGGCAGGAAAATCTCAGATATTTCACGCAGCAATATTTTTATTGATATGTCCCCTAGAGCAAGGGACATAAAGGAAAGAATAAACAAATGGGATCTCATCAAAATTAAAAGCTTTTGCATGGCTAAAGAAAACAGTATTAAAATAAAAAGAGAACCAACTATATGGGAAAACATATTTGCCAATGATACCTCAGACAAGGGTTTAATCTCCAGAATATACAAAGAACTTACACCACTCCACTCTAAGAAGACAAGCAACCCAATTAAAAAGTGGGCAAAGGACTTGAACAGACATTTCTCCAAGGAGGACATACAGAAGATCCAGAGACACATGAAAAGATGCTCAGTATCACTAGCTAACAGAGATGCAAATTAAAACCACAATGATACCACTTTTCACTGGTCAGAATGGCCATCATAAACAAAGCAACAAACGAGTGTTGGAGAGGTTGTGGAGAAAAGGGGACCCTAATCCATTGTTGGTGGGATTGCAGACTGGTACAACCACTATGGAAGACAGTATGAAATTTTCTCAGAAAACTAAAAATGAACCTGCCTTTTGACCCAGCAATTCCACTGCTGGGATTATATTCTAAGAACGCTAAAACACCAATTCAAAAGAACCTATGCACCCCAATGTTCATAGCAGCACAATTTACAATAGCCAAGAGTTGGAAGCAACCTAGGTGCCCATCAGTAAATGAATGGATCAAAAGATTATGATACATATACACAATGGAATTCTATGCAGCAGAAAGAAAGAAGGAGCTCCTACCCTTCGCAACAGCATGGATGGAAATGGAAAATATTATTCTAAGTGAAATAAGCCAGGCATTGAAAGACAAATACCATATGATCTCACCTTTAACAGGAAGCTAAACAACAAAATAAACAAGCAAGCAAAATATAACAAAAGACACTGAAATAGAGAATAGGTAGACAGTGACCAGAGGGGAGAGGGGAGGGAATTTCAGGGGAAGAAGGGGAAGGATTTACGGGAACGAGTATAAAGGACACATGGACAACAACTAAGGAGGGTGGAAATGGGAGGGAGGTGGGGATCACTGGGGGGGGTGGGCTGGGATGGGAGTAAAAGACAGAAAACTATACTTCTCGAACAACAATTAAATTTAAAAAGTCACCCCCCCAAAAACAAAACTTATTTCACACATCACTTCCGCCATGAAGATTTTAAAATAATCCCAACTAAAGGTAATTACTTCATTCTTTTACTTTCTATAGGATCTTCAACCTCTTGGACGGCTCTGCTCACTTTGTACCTTGGACGATGGTAATTCATTTATATAACATTCCCTCCATTAGACTGTAATCTCATAGAAGGGAAGGGTCATGGCTTCATCACTGTTTATCTACCTATAGTAGTTCTTCACATGGTGACTTGCATTTAGGTGGTACATTGCATGTCTTTTAAAAAGACATTAACAATTATATAATGTTTAATACTAATGTAGAATATAACAACAATGTACATATTTTACCAAATCCAAGAGGCACTTGTATTCATTTGCCTTTTAACAGCTCTGAGACTGTAGTGTATCTTACAAGCATTAGCACATCATGGTTAAATTGGCAGCACTGTTTTCTATTTTTTTTGGTGCATAAGATAAATGGTACACGTTATCACTGATGACACCTACTATTCAATGAAATATAGTATTTCAATTCTACAGTTTTGTCTCAGAAATACATTATGCATAAGTTTTATTAAAACTATCGTATGTTAAATGAGTGTCTACCTCAGGTACAACTCTACAAAACGAGACATGATCTGTTTACCCAAGAACCTTCTAAGATGAAAACTAACAATATCCAGAGATAGAGTAAGAATTTTACAAGCTCTAAGCCCTATAAAGATCAGGTATCAAAATAAAGACAATAACCATAAAAAGGGCACTTCAAAGAAATTCTATTTTTTTAGGGTGACGTTTTGAAATAATAAATTCTTCCAAAAGAAAACATTTTTGGCACACTTTCTTTGCTGGTCCCTTAGGTACGTGACTGATTTGTTGGGCGAGTGAGCACTAACATTCCATTGGCTTGAACATATTGAGGACCCAGCAATTGGCACAGCAAATCTGTGCTGAGCATCACAGGAGTTGGGGAAAAAGAGCCATCCCATTGGGGTCCAGGTGCCAGGAAAACATTTACAGAACAAATGGGACCATGAGAGATGGGTTAGCATTAGGCAAAGGGGACACTTTTAGTAAAAGCAAAAGGGTAGTAAAAAATATGACTCATACAAAAAGATGGCAGAGGGACCCATGTTGTAGATTTTGGGGGAGGGATATGGCATCTGCGACTAGGTTACTGAAGCTCCTTGAAAATAGGCCCAGAAGACCAAACATGACGTGACTGGCAAAGAGAGCAGGTTCTTGAGTGGTGAATGACAGTATGGCGGCATGTATCTGAAAGCCTCACCTGCTAGTAGAATGTAGGGAAAATTAAAGGGGTCAGGTGCAGAGAGACTTGCTAAGGCTAGTGCTTTGAATTCAGTGACAAGATGAAAAGAGCCTGGTGTGTGGTGGTATCAAAGGGAATCCAGAGGAAAAAGCAAATTTGGAAATCTAGTTTGTTAAGTTTTCATTGATTTTCAAGTTAAACATTACTTTCTACTGTCTCTGGTTTCTCTTAGCACATTGGTTTAGATATTTCTTACATACAGTGTCCTGGAAAAATTTTGTTGCCTCACTACCAGTTTCCTGATGTATAAAATGACAATTGTAACAGTACCTTTTTCAGACAGTCATTAGGGTTAAGTGAAAGAACACAGTAGAGTATCGAGCACAGTGGTTGGTGCAAACTACAATCTCAACAGAGTTAGCTATGATTTTTTCATTCATTATCATTGTCTCATTGTCATTATCATCATCTCTTAGATCATCATCATCATCATCATCATCATCTCTTAGGCAGATCTCTAGCTTTTTTCCTGCCACTGCCCTGGAAATCCCTTGATTCCAATGATCACATCTCATGATCTTTGTTTCTCCAAAAAGTAATTCAAGGTAGGATTTTTGTTAATATGTACTGAATTTTAAAAGGGAAAATGACAGAAATCCAAGAAAACAGGAATCTCTGTGACAAAAGAAGGCATTATTAAAATTATTCCTATTTTTGAGGCTGACAGACAGGAAGAAAGGCAGTTCCCTAGACAGGGAAACTGGAGGGAGAACCATGTGCAGTATTTGGAAGATCCTGGACTCGGCATTTAGCCTACTGAGTTGACGTGATGGATGGTGGGATGATAAGAGAAAGGTGGCAGACAAGATAAATGTGTCCCACACCTTCCATTAAAAGAATAAATGGGCACACGCTTAGAGAGAGAGCAAAAGATGAGATATTGTAAAACAGAAAGTCCATGCATGTGAAGTAACTGACCTAGTAATCAGCAATGTAGATAACCAACAGCTAGCTCAAAACAGACTGTAGGATC